GCACAGGCGCAGAGCACAGCTTGAGACACGTCAGCAGGAAACGGAACTGTATAAAAGATGAACTGAAACCTGCTGGGGTTGCGGCAGCGGTGCCCAGCGCTGTTTTTTGCTTTTGCCTTGCTTGCTGTAATTAATAAAATTCCTTGATTCGATCATATTTATCCAAATGTGTGGTCAAATTTATCACAATTTGGTGCCGTGACTCGGATGGGATTGGTACAATAGGGCACGATTACCGAGGAGGCGCCCCAGCACTGGTGGCCTTGGTGATCGGTCCCTGCCTCGCTCCCACCGACGAACCTAAATTCAAGGCATTAAAGCAAAGGGGACCGGTCGACCCTATAAATTTTGTGCACAAAGGTCCAGACGAAGACGCAGGAAGCGTGAGTATTAAAAGGGGTCGGGATCCTGGAGTGTGACGAGTGTGGTGTATGAGAGGGGGGCTGGCAGCTCGGACTCCCCAGGTGAGCGCTGTTATGTGTATATCTCATTTATAACAGTGCAGACCCTCAGTAGTGCGGTTCTCATTGCTCTTTCCGTGTCAAACCACGACAGCCACTGACCAGGGGAAGCGAGTTTTTGCGTGGAACGATTGAAGGCACTCCAGAAGATGGGGCAGGGGAAGAGCAAGCCCTCTGTACCTGTAAAACTTCCCCCAGTTCCTGGGGACAGCCCATTGGGGTTTATGATACACAATTGGAGACATTGCCCTGGCACTGGAGATAAAGATAAGGCAAAAATGATTCATTACTGTGTAGAAGTGTGGGGAGGAAACAAATATCACGCAATGTTTATTGGCCCATATTTGGGTCCTCAGAAGACTGGATGAAGCAGGGCCCGAACATATGGGTAAACACCAAAACCCCTTTCAGTCAGGAGGAGAGTGAATATGCAAAAATATGGGTAGAAAGTCCTGGCAGTAGAGTGTTTTTATACCCCTTGAAAGAAAAAATCGCCCATGGATAACTCCGGGGCAAGAAGAAAGGATAAAAAGAAGGAAGAAATCCCGCTAGTTCCACCCCTGTACATACCCCCGCCACACCCAAATGCTCCCCCACCCCCAGATATGTCCTCGGAAGAGGAGGATGAGAATCCCAAATCCTCAAAGCATGAGGGACCGATGACAAGGAGCAGAGCTAGACAGCATAACCTGTACCCATTGAGGGAAATGCCCATGGGAGGGGCACAACCAGGTATTGGGTTTATTTCGGTTCCCCTCAGCTCGGGAGATGTACGAGATTTTAAGAAGGAGATGGGGAATTCGTTGGAAGATCCTCTAGGGGTTGCAGAGAGATTAGATATATTTCTGGGTCCTAACATAAACACTTGGGACGAGTTACAGTCAATCATGAACATCTTCTTTACTGCTGAGGAAAAGAATATGATCAGAAATGCGGGAATGCGAATTTGGGATGCACAACATATCCAAGGTCCACAAGCAAATGGCCCCATTTTGTGTCCAGAATTATCAAGGAAGTAATGGCAACAATAGGGATAAAATGGGACTACCATACCCCATGGCACCCTAAAAGCTCAGGAATAGTTGAAAGAATGAATGGGGAAATAAAGAAACAATTGATGAAGCTCATGATAGAAACTAAACTGTCATGGGTAAGGTGTTTACCATTAGCACTTATGAACATAAGAACCCAACCGAGATCCGACATGGGAATTTCCCCTTTTGAAATGCTATAGGGATGCCTTATAATCTAGAAGAGCCCCAAGACCATCCAAATCTAAGGGACAAAAACATGAACACCTATATTGTTAATTTAATGAAATACAGAAATGAGCTATGGAAAAAGGGATTGATAGCTCAGAGACCTCCACTGGAAATAAGAATACATCAAATACAATCAGGAGATTGGGTATTAATAAAAACATGGAAAGAGACATCACTAACCCCTCAATGGGAAGGTCCTTATCTTGTATTGCTCACTACAGAAACCGCAGTAAGAACAGCCGAGAAAGGATGGACCCATGCCAGCAGAGTTAAAGGACCAGTGGAGAAACCAGTACCCAAGTGGCAAGTGACCAGTTCTCCTGGAGATTTAAAACTGAAAATCCAACGAAAGGACTATTGATGAGTAAATACCGAATTGAGTACTTACCCAGCCCATATTACACAGAAGAAGGACTGATTTGTAATAGTGATGTTAGGGTAATAGTGATGTTAGGGTAAGGTGTGGGAACCTTGACTGTAATTGCTGCCCTTTTGTTTGCTATATATGTAAAGTATGATGGGAAAAGTGGTGGATTCATTGTAGGCGGGGAATTCCACCCAGAGGAATTTGCAGTCCTTGCTGGAAGCTCCAGCGTGAGATTACTGATTGGATTCTAAAGTGTAAAGTCTAAAGGGAAATTAGGGGTGGAATCAGAGGAACGGTGGGAAATATTTACTAAAGGAATTGAACCAAATTATTATTGTTATCATTTGAACCAGCCCGTCCCTTTTGTAGCCGAAATTACTGAAAGCATTTGCTGCAGACACCTGAAGGAAGTCCAGTGTAAAGTTCCAGGAATTAAGGAAAATAACTGGCACTCCTATATCAACAGGCAAAGGAAGCAATATGCTCTATCCCAAATACCTCCCGAAGAATACCCCTGCTGCTGAGAAGATGGTACCCCTCGTGGCTCGAAGCAACCGAGTCGACGAGCGAGGCAGAGGAGTAAAAGATGGTGGAGGAAAGAAACCCCGAATTGGGATATCAGAGCAGTGCTCTTGGAATGGCCTCAGGAGTGGGACTAAAAAGCCTTGGTGTGATCTGCGACACCCAAATTATTTGAACAAGGGAAAGGCACTAATAAATCAGAATTACCGAACAGCCTACGCCTCCAATAATCACCACCACTTAGCCCAATATATTTTCTTTTTTCTGAGTGTGTTGTGTGCAAAGGAGGTTGATAGTGTCGAAGGTGTAGGGGAAATACAGTATACGCACGAACCCTTTAAATGGACTTTAATTCGATGGGAAGATCAGAAAACACTTCAGACTATAATTACACCTGAAGCCCCTTCCTTTACATGCTCTCTAAGGGACATTGTACATGTTGAATTAACATTTGATCCTGGATTCTACTTCTGCCCTAGTTCAAACCCAGGGAAAGCCTATTGTAACTATCCTGGACATTATTATTGTGGCTATTGGGGTTGCGAAACCATTGCTTCAGACTGGCAGGTTGAAAAACCAGATAAATACCTGAGGGTGGGATGGGGTCCCTATGGATGCAACCCTCCGATACGTGATTTTGCGGGGGGAATTAGTCAAAAAGGAAACTGTCACTGGATTTACATTAATGTTACACAACCTGCAGAACCAGGATGGTTCCTAGGAAAAACCTGGGGGGTAAGGATATGGGAACCCGGACCTCGGGTAGATAGTGGTGGACATATCCTTATCAGGAAAGAACGAGTACCCCCTGATCCAGAACTGGTGGGACCCAACCCAGAAGTAGGAGAACCAAATGAGGAACTGAGAAATCAATGGAATGTTACTAATGAGATTGACAATACTACAATTACTCCGCAGGGAAAAGAAAAACCAAACTATACTCAAAACGGGGTTAGAATATAGTGTTCTATGGAAAGATATGCAAGCTAGTTACGGGATCTTAAACAAGACAAACCCAGAATTAACTAAGGAATGCTGGTTATGCTATAATATTAGACCTCCATTCTATTAAGGCATTGAGGTAGCAGCGAAAGCCAGAAGAATTAATGGAACTAACCGGGCACAATGCCTCTGGAAACAGAAAAAGGAAGTGCTCCAGGGATTAACTCTCTCTCAAGTACCAGGAAAAGGGAGATGCGTGGGAAATATACCAAAGCATAAGGAACATCTTTGTGGGACAATCATGTCAGTAATAAGAACGGGAAAACCACCGGCTGACTGGTTATTACCAGCCGCCAACACCAGGTGGGTATGTAAAAGTATAGGGATCACCCCATGCCTTTCACTAAAACTGTTTAACCACACCCATGAATATTGTATTCAAGTATCTATTATACCCCAAATTACTTACCATCCAAATGAATACATTTGCAAACAACACACAACATCAGAACACTACTTGGAAAAAAGAGAGCCTCTTACCACCCTAACCATAGCAACTCTCCTTACAGTAGGGAGAATAGGAGCAGGAACAGGAGTAGCTTCCTTAGTTAACCAACAGAAAGAATTTAAGGCATTAAGGATTTCGGTAAATGAAGATCTCAGCAGAATAGAACAAGCCATTGATGGTTTCGTGAAATCGGTAAGATCTCTTTCAGAAGTAGTCTTGCAAAAACGAAGAGGATTAGACTTATTGTTTTTACAACAAGGTGGGTTATGTGTAGCTCTTAAAGAGGAATGTTGTGCTTATTGCTTATGCAGACCACACCAGGGTAGTGGTAGATAAAATGGCAGAATTGAGAAAACTACTAGAACAAAGAAAAAGGGAAAGGTAGGCACAACAAAGTTGGTATGAGACTTGGTTCAATCACTCCCCTTGGTTAACTACCTTACTGTCTACCGTGGCTGGACCATTAATTTTACTAACTCTTGGCTTGACGTTTGGGCCTTGTATATTTAATAAATTGGTGGCAATAGTAAAGGGACACTTAGAAGCTGCACACCTTATGCTTACTGGAGCCAAATATGAACAAATACCAGAAGATGAAACTGTAGAGGCATTGGAATTGGCCAGACAGGAGTTGCGAAGATTTAATGAACGAAAATGAACAAGAGAAAAAGGGGGGATGGTGATAGATTGAGGTATGTTTTGTTCATTAAAGGGTTAAAAACAGAAAACTAAGGCTCTAAGATCAAGATGAAACTCATATGCAAACATGCTCTTGCTGAATGTCTAATTGCTCAACAAGCCTTAAGTTCCAAGAACTCAAGCATGAGGAAGACCACCCAGCCTTTATCACACGACCACCGGGAGAAGAAAGGCACAGGCGCAGAGCACAGCTTGAGACACATCAGCAGGAAATGGAACTGTATAAAAGATGAACTGAAACCTGCTGGGGTTGCGGCAGTTGGTGGAGCGGGGACTCCCCTGTCGCCCAGCACTGTTTTTTGCTTTTGCCTTGCTTGCTGTAATTAATAAAATTCCTTGATTCAATCATATTTATCTAAATGTGTGGTCAAATTTATTACAGGAAGGGGCTGGAGCATCCGTGAGGGAGCTGGGAAGAGGCTGGAGAATCCCTGAGGGAGCCGGGAAGGG